AATATTTATAGTAGCTTAGAACTAACCCCTAAAAATCCTTTTGGTGTGTCAGACAATATTGCCTTGTTTCGGTTTTGTTCGATGAGTTTGGTAAAGAAGTGCGTTTTGCTCATTACTCCTCCGGGAAATGTAGGGAGTGTGGATTACTTATTTGTGTCATTAATGAAGGAAAATTGGAATGGGGTTTGTATTGTCTCCCCCCACTCCTCTCAATATTTGTGAAGTTTTAAAAAAAGATGGACATGGGATTTCCCTGGCGGTCCAGTGGTTAAGACTTCACCTTCCAGTGCAGGGGGTGCAGGTTCAGTCCCTGGTTGGGGAGCTAAGATCCCACATGCCTCGTGGCCAAAAAACTAAAACATAAACCGGAAGCAATATTGTAACAAATTCAATAAAAACTTTAAAATTGGTACACATCAAAAGAAAATCTTAAAAAAAGTAAACATTTAAACAGTAGAAAATAAGTTCTTAGTTCTCTGGAAATAAAAAAAATCTTTAAAATACTCCTCATATCGTAACATCACTCTTTTGACTTTTGAGCACAGCTTTTATTCTTGTGTCTATATTTGTGTTAAATTAGAAAGAGCTTGTGACTCAAAAAATTTTTTTTGTTTTTTTTTTTGCGTTTTTTTTTGCGGTACGCGGGCCTCTCACCGTTGTGGCCTCTCGCATTGCGGAGCACAGGCCCAGCAGCCACAGCCCACGGGCCCAGCCGCTCCGCGGCACGCGGGATCCTCCCAGACCGGGGCACGAACCCGCGTCCCCTGCATTGGCAGGCGGACTCTCAACCACTGCACCACCAGGGAAGCCCCTCAAAAAAATTTTTATACTGTTTTTTATATCTTTATATAATAACATGTCAACAGATCAAGTATCTTGTAATATTAAACTTCTGTTAACCAAATTATATGCTATTTTATAGTAAAACTGTTTTCATGGATAAGTATAGGAAAATGCTAAAAACCATTTTTAGAATATTTTACAGATTTTTGGTGAATCATGCTCTCATTATACACATACACACAAGGAATACTTCATTGCTGTTCACCTGTAATCAAACTGAGATTAACCTTCAGGTGGGGGTTTGGATGATGGTAAATAATAAACCATTCAGTAGCCATCACATATTTATCTTACTCCAAACTCTTAGGACACAGAATTAAAATAACTCATGTAATAGAAAGCCAGACACTCGTTATGCAAAATCACCAATTAAGTCTGTGTTTGAGCAAGCATAAGCTAGATCAGTTGTATTCATTTGTTTGCATTTTGTAATATTTTAAAAATAAAATATATTCACTCAAGTGGAAAACTTTAATACTGTGGAGAATGGATTAATAAGCGTGGTACATTTTTACAAGAGTGAAAATGAATGCACTACAGCTACCTGAATGGACATAGGTGATGCTCAGAAACATAGTGTTAGGGGTAAAGAAGCTGAAGAACGTTATAGTATGATACCACGTATATAAAGTTCAAAAACAAGTCACTACATACAAATGTGGTAAAACTGTACAGGAAACAAAGAAAGGAAAGATATAAAAAGACCAGTAGTTACCTGGGGATGGGGATGAGAGTGGAGAGAGGAGAGGATGAATCAGAAAGGAACCAAGGGGAGTTGTGGTGATGATGCTAATGCTGTCTTCCGGAAGTCGACAATTGTTTTACAGGTATCCATTCACTATTATGCTTTATGCCTTACATGCACATCACTTATACGCTCTGCAATGTACCAGATAATTTCTAATTCAGAAAATTGCTGTGAATATTTTCACACTTTAAACATTTCACACCTGTTCTTATTAAAGCTGAAGGCTTTCTCTTCCAGCAAAATTCCCTTTTCATTTTGATTAATTTTGATGCTGCAGTTGAAGCTTATAAAATCTTTAAGCGTAAAAAAATTGTAAATTAAAAGTAAACATTTGTATATTTAAGTATTCCTAAAATCAGCTCTTGTAATAGTTTATTTTTATAATTCATTTATATTCCTCTAAACCACATAAAGCTTCTAGAGGCATACAAGTTAACAGCAGGGACTTGAAATAAACAAACAAACAAAAAGAAACCATAAAAATAAAATAACAGAATTGGAGTAATCCCTCCTAGCTTGTGGAGACTGCTTTGAATTACGTTTTATGTTAAATTTTTCTCACTTAAATGTAAGCAACAACCATTAATTTTTAAAATATTTTTCTGAGGTACTTGAGCTCCAAATTCTAAATGAACCAGTCTGTTTTCTAAAGTATTTGCTGGAAAAACAGTCCAGTTTTCCATAGCCCAGTGTGACACACATCCTGCGGTTCAAATGCCTATGTGGTAGTCACCTTGCCAGTTCCAATTTGATAGAATTACTCACTGGCAAAGTAGTACAGTCTTAAACACGATGTGTAGAAACCCAGTGCTGAGTTGAGCTAACAGTAGTGATGGGGAAAACACATGAAAGGAAACAGAATAGAAAGCAGTTCACAATTCTGATCTGGAGAAAGAGGGGAAAGTACAATAGCAGCATGGAGTGATGTTTCTCACTTGGGTGACTGGATGGATGACAGTATTATTCTCGAGTAATGGTAGCAATAATTGTGTCTCCAGTTTGTCTTGTTCTCTGTAGTTTACAAAGTGCTTTCACGAACATTATGTCTTCCCCCCTTAGTGTTCCCGTTGGAGGGACTTGCGCTGTGAGCCTTTGTTCTCGCTGCCCTCGTAAGCATTTGACTTTGTTCCTGAGTCCTCCCCTTGAAAACTGTTACCCCCTTGATCTCTTTGACATCTCCTGATTTCTCTAGTGCCTCCTTTTCTCTTTATCTAAACCTGACTACCCTGATTGCTCCCTTGCTGACATTATCCATTATTGTGATTTCATTGAGCGCAGCAAAGATTTCTCTAACATCCTGTTTTTTGAATAGTGTATCTCAAGGATTGAGCTAATTCATAATCATCTTCCTTTTCTATTTCTTTACTTCCTGTTTGTATGAATGACTGCATTTCTCACTCACCAGGGCTCAAAGCCTTAAACCTGTATGTGAATCCTTCCTCCACTCTTATACCTAATCACTTATCAGATTCTGTTCATTCTGTCTTCAGAATATCATCT